CAGTGCTCGCACACTGGAGTTCCTCCGACGGCGGTTTTGGTGGCCGTCCATCAAGAAGGACGTGCAGATCTATGTTGAGGCCTGCCCTGTGTGCAACCAGGGAAAGTCGACACGCCAGCGACCCCAGGGACTGCTCCATCCCTTACCTGTTCCTCGAAGGCCATGGTCACACCTTTCTCTGGACTTTGTTACGGGACTTCCTCTATCCCAGGGCAACACCGTCATCCTAGTGGTGGTAGACCGGTTCTCTAAGGCTGCCCGGTTTATCCCCCTGCCCAAGCTGCCCTCGGCTAAGGAGACTGCTGAGCTCCTCATGAACCATGTCTTCCGGATATTTGGTATTCCCCTGGACGTGGTCTCTGACCGAGGTCCCCAATTCTCGTCCCGGTTTTGGGGGGCCTTCTGCAGGCTTGTTGGGGCCACAGCCAGCCTATCGTCGGGGTTCCATCCAGAGTCTAATGGCCAAACAGAACGGATTAATCAGGATCTGGAGACCACCCTGCGGTGTATGGCGGCCAGTAATCCCACGTCTTGGGCCACCTATATCATTTGGGCTGAATATGCCCACAACACCCTCCAGTCCTCAGCCACCGGATTGTCCCCATTCGAATGCCAGTTCGGTTACAACCCTCCATTATTTCCAGAGGAGGAGGCGCAGGTTGGTGTTCCCTCGGCCCAGCGCTTTGTCCAACGCTGTAGGCGGACCTGGAAGAAGGCCAGGCGTGCCCTCCTTCGGACCTCCCAGAGATACCAAAGTCAGGCTAATCGCCACCGCCGGACGGCCCCTAGTTTCCGAGCTGGTCAGAGAGTTTGGTTGGCCACTAAGAACCTGCCCCTCCGGGTCGAATCCAAGAAGCTTTCCCAGAGATACATCGGCCCTTTCCGCATTGCTAGAAAGGTTAACCCTGTGTCTTATCGTTTGGTTCTCCCTCGCTCCCTTCGTATTAACCCCCACTTTCCATGTTTCACTTATTAAACCTGTCTTGTCTTCTCCCTTTGCCCCCCCACGCAGACCCCCGCCACCTCCCAGGATTATTGACGGCCAGCCAGCCTACACAGTCCGCCGGATACTGGACTCCCGGAGGGTCCAGAACTCTCTGCAGTATCTGGTGGACTGGGAGGGCTACGGGCCAGAGGAGCGCTCCTGGGTTCCAGCCAGGGACATCCTGGATCCAGGGTTGGTCCGAGATTTTCGCACCCTGAGGCCAGGGTGTTCTGGAAGGAACGTCAGGAGTCGTTCCTAGAGGAGGGGGTCCTGTCAGCTTCCTGCTTCTCCTGTTTGTCTCCTGGCCTCTAGAGGTCAGCTGTGTTCCCCTCTGCCTTTGTTCTTCCTCATGTGTCCTCATTAGTTTGATCCAGGTCACCTGTGCCTTGTTTTCCCTTTAGTATTTTAGCTGTGTGTTTTCCCCTTGTTTCTCACTTGGTTATTGCGTCCTGACTATGTGTCTCCTGCCTTGTCCCACCGTGTCAGTCCTAGTAAGTTGTTCGAAGTTATCTTTAGTTTGTTTTTCTCCCCTCGTGGAGTTGTTTTGTTTTGCCTCCTGTTTTGGAACATTAAATCTACTTGCCTGGAGTATTGCCTTGGGTGTTTCATTTGGGTCCTACAACATCTCCTCTGTGGCTAAGGGGTAGTACCCCCAGCTCTACACATCTGAGACCGGAGTTCTAGCCCGGCTTGTGACACACTTGTTTTATTCATGCCTTTCTTCAACCCTTTGAAGTGGAATACAAATATTTTGATAGGCATACATGTATGGAGATGTGCATAAAGAACACACCATGAGGCTTCATCATGTACACTCTTAGAAAAAAGGGTTCTAAAGGGGTTCTTCGGCTGTCCCCATAGGAGAACCCTTTTTGGTTTCCCGTAGAACCCTTTTGGGTTCCATGTAGAACCCTCTGTAGAAAGGGTCATATGTGGAACCGAAAAGGGTTCTACCTAGTACCATAAAGGGTTATTCAAAGGGTTCTCCTATGAGGACAGCAGAAGAACCCTTTTAGGTTCTAGATATCAAATTTTTCTGAGTGTAGGACTTCTTCTGAGATCTCTAGGGCAGAGACACTCGTATAGATGAGCAGATTGTAGGAATTGAAAGAATTTGGGGAAATGGAAATACAGCTAGTATTTTCTTGATATAGTGAATCAGTTTGAGGATATATTGTGTTTACCATTCAAACTGAGAACAAACTGTCCATCAAGTTAGTCTGCAAATTCTGATGGTCAGCAGGTTGGTTGATTAGATCAGAGCCCCCACTCAGTACATTACTTGAATGAAAATGACTGGGAAATGTGTGTTCAAATCATATCAAGTCAAATGTTATTTGTCACATGCACCGTAAAATGCTTACTTACGAGTTTGCTAAATTATAGGAATAATAGTAACACAATAAAATAACAATAACGAGGCTATATACAAGGGGTACAAGTATCGAGTCAATGTGCAGGGGTATGGGTTAGTCAAGGTAATTGAGGTAATATGTACATGTAGGTAGGTGTAACGTGAAATGCTTAGATAATAAACAGAGAGTAGCAGCAGTGTGTGTGAAGAGTGTGAAGGAATGTGAATGCAAATGTATGTATGTGTGTGTGTTTGTGTGTGTGTGTGTGTGTGTGTGTGTGTGTGTGTGTGTGTGTGTGTTGGAGTGTCAGTGTAGTATGTGTGAGTCTGTGGTTAGAGCCCAGTGAGTGTACATCGAGCCTGTGCAAGAGAGTCAGTGCAAAGAATGATAATAAAATAAGGGGGTCAAAGCAAATAGTCCTGGTGGCCATTTGAACAATTGCTCAGCAGTCTTATGGCTTGGGGGTAGAAGCTGTTAAGGAGCCTTTTGGTCCCAGACTTGGCACTCTGGTACCGCTCGACGTGCGGTAGGAGAGAAAACAGTCTATGACTTGGGTGGCTGGAGATCTTTTTGAGATCTGAGGTCCCATGCCAAATATTTTCAGCCTCCTGAGGGGGAATAGGTGTTGTCGTGCCCTCTTCACGACTGTCTTGGTGTGTTTGGACCATGATAGGTCCTTAGTGATGTGGACACCAAGGAACTTGAAGCTCACTTGAAGTATTACATTTAATTGCATGTTTCCCCAGTGAGTATCCAGCTCAAGTGAGTGAGATTTGATGTTATGCCACTATGGGCCACCATGTGATTTGTTCACATCATAGTTCACAGAGACACACCAGAGGAGTCAAAGGGTGCACAGTCACAGAGGGGCTTATAGAGTGACAGAGACTGGCATGAAGAAAGCTGATTTAAATACACTCACACACACAAACACACACACAGACATATAAACAGTCAAATTAGATTTAAAAAACAGATAAAAATACACCTTATGGATCAGCGGGGACTGTGATGAGACACACACACAGGCACAGACACAGACACACGCATACACACAAACACACATGATAACATAAGCACTACACATACAGGTACACATGTACTTTGTATTGTTGATATGTGGTAGTGGAGTATTGGCCTGAGGGCACACACTTAATGTTTTGTGAAATGTAATTTAATGTTTTTAATTGTAACCCACACACACACAAAGTCACTTATGGCACATGGAGGCAGTGTTACTACAATAATTTTTGTACAAGGCAAAGACCAATTAGCTCCCATTTTGAGAGCGCCTGTAAAGGGGTTGAGAGGTGGCTAAGTGTATTGGAACCTACCCCCGTCGTTAAAAGTAACAGGACATCATAAATATCAAGAAGCTTTGAGGGAGTGATTGTGTCCCCCATATCTTCAAGGTGTTAACTGCGCTTGTATAAATAAACGACCTGTTATTTTAGGCTTCATTACGTATCAGCCTCCCTCACGAGGTTGCTATTCGGGTCTGAAGTGTCACCATATATTTTACCACTATAACTCCAAATGAACAAACATAGAACTAACAGTAACAGAACACATTCGTGTATGAAAAATGTATGCACTCACTAACTGTAAGTCGCTCTGGATAAGAGCGTCTGCTAAATGACTAAAATGTAAATGTAAATTCGTAGTTATTACAACGGAATATAGGCATACATTTAGGGTGCGTTCGTAAATTCACTCTGGCCATCTACTCCGATTTCAGAGCACTCTCATCTGATTGTGCCAGAGAGCAGAATAACTGAGAATTTATGAACAGGCAACACCCGTCGAATATGACCGGTGTCAGTAAACGTCTACAAAAAAAAACGTCATTAGATTGTTGCCAGCAGCACAGTTACAGTCACGAACGCTCTAGAAACATGAAAACAGCCTAACCAGCTCTGCTAGGGCTAGTAAAATGTTCAGAGTGAGGTGTTCTCTCATTTGTGTCTGAAATAGCTAGCAAGCTAGCCAACTTTAGCCAGTTAGCTTGGGTGGTTGACTGCCGTTGAACGCTCGGATCAACCCTACTCCTCGGTCAGAGCGTCCAGTGTGCGCTCTGAACGCTCCTATAGCGAAACGCTCTGAATTTAGGAAGAGACAATCTGACAACGCTCTGAATTTACGAACGCCCAGAGCGCACCCTGAGGGCACTCTGGCACTCCAGAGTGAATTTACGAACACACCCTTAATCGAATAGGTAGGCTATTCCACAGATAGACCGTTTCGTGTCATTAATAAAGTCAATCAGCAACGTGAATGTTATCAAAATATGATAATATTCTAAAGCCTGCGCATACTGTAGCCTATATGATTAGCACTAGCGGTTTGCCAAGATTTTACCACTTAAAGAGAAGTGTGATATTCATAGGTATTCCCTAATTAATCTGTGTTCATATTGAAATGTGAAACATGCGTAGGCCTAGAACATTTTAATTGTTCGAGCATTTGTTATATTACAATTCAGGCTTATTATAAAAATGATTATCAACATAATTATTGTTGTCATTAGTTGTTCTTTCTGCTATTATTTGTTCTTGTTGTCATTTTTTTGTCATGCCAATTAGGTTGGAGGCCGAAACTGAGGTGAGGATGCTTGTATTATGTTGCCATATTGACTTATGCTGAAATGTATTGCCTTGCTCTTGCAGAGCCGGGAGGCCGGGGTTATGGATTTTAACCTTCTGACGGACAGTGAAGCCCGAAGCCCGGCGCTATCGCTCTCCGACTCCGGGACGCCGCAACATGATCAGGGATGCAAAGGCCAAGACAACAGCGGTTAGTTTCCACGTTTACCATGCATATGCATTTAAGGAGTGTTTGACCGAGTAAATGTCCTCAGACTGAAATTGCATGTAGGCCTACCAATCACACAATTTTATAATAATAATAATAGGCCTAATAATAATAGCCTAATATAATAATAATACGATTAATAAGATTAATCATAATCATAAATACAATATCACGATGCTTTTCTAAAATTGTTTATACCTTGCAATTCCTATTATTATTGTAGCCAATAGTGTGCGTAATTATATATGGATATCAATTTAATCATATTAATTGGCTTGCTTCTTAGGCGACTGTTGCCAAATTCTTAATTTCTTAACTTGAAAGCCAATATTAATCGAATCCAAATGTGTTATTTTGTACAGCGCATAGCAGCCTATATGATTTACATTAGATACTTGTCCTATTCCTTCATGAACTCAAATTGCAAGTTCATTCTTCACGCTTGTCTTATATAAAGCAAGGGTTATTAACTGCGAGACTTTAATGGAAGCTACTGTAAACATCTGGCATGAACCCCTTGCGCGTTGGCGGAGAAGCAGCTTTTTGGCATGTTGTCTTGTGCGTGTATTTGCACACTGATATTTTAATCACTCTCAATTGAAACCTAAAAAATAAGCTAAAACACATAATGAACGGAAAATAGCCTAAAGTCATAGACATACAAGAATATCCTGAGCAACTATTGCTCAGGCTTGAAAGCTAAATGTCTGCCTCTGCATTTCAACAGTCTGCATGTCACTTTATAACAAATTATGCCAGAGAAAAAGCAAATAGTTGTGATACCCGTGCGGTCTAATAGATGACATCTCTGTGGATCCAGCGTCTGCAACAGACCCCATAAAGTGTGACTAATGTAAACTTACTCCGAAATGGACGGTCCTGAGTGAGTGCAGGGATTTAGGAGAACGCCTAAATGTGAACCACGGATTACGCACTATAACCTAGCATCAACATAATGAGGCAAAGAGGCCAAATATCAAGAGACAATATTTCCAATGTAGCCTACTTGTTTTGTTCACTGACTATGGAATGTTTATTCTAGAAAAGGTTTAGCTAGTTGAAATTATATATAGAAAAATAAACAAGCAGTTCATTCATTGTTCATTTGTGTGATATTGGATATTGTTAGAAAGGTCAACCAATTAGTTTGTTTTTCAATGTCCACTTAAATGGTTATTTGTTCAGTGTATATATATTTATTAAATAAACTGCATCCCCATGATGGCAGACACCTGGGCATCACCTCTGAAATACAATATCCACTTAATACAGAAATGTTATACATACTTAAATTAAATTAGGCCTTATTAAATGACAAATGTCACATCGGCAATAGCACACTCAAGTGGCATCTCTGAAGTTTCAAAATGAGTGAAACCGTCTATAAATGACACACATACTGTATATATACAGAGGTTTGGCTATAGTAGGCTTATTTTATTCAGCCCACTTTTATTAATAAACAACCTGGGAATGTATCATGTGTTTCAGAAAATGTCAGAAAATGTCAGAAAATGTATGCATGTATTTCAAAGCATGTGTGCATGCATTTGGATATATAGACACAGTATGCTGCTACCTTGGTGCTTTTCCGCCTGTCCAAGGGGTCAAGCATATAAATTCAGATTTAATTGCCAAACAACTGAGTCTGCTGTGGGGTTGGCGCTAATAAATCCACCCCCAACAGGGCTTCAGACATTCTAGTGCTGAGAATATGTCAGCCTGTCAGGCTGAAACAACTTTCAAAGAAATGTGATGAGTGGAAAGGGTGCTTGTATATATGCTCCTCAATAATGCTAATTTACTGTAAAGCCCTTTACCCATGCATTTATAATCTTGTTGCTCTAAAACTCTCTATTAGTTTTCATCATCATGTTTATGGTCGCTTTAAAATGTGTCAGTGTTAGACAGACATGTTGTTCCAGTGGTTAATGGATACAGGACATTGCTTCTCCAACTGACTCTCAAAAATCTCATCAGTTGTGCAAGTGATGGTGAGGACCGACTATTATTTGGTTGGTTTGTTTGTTTGCTGGCTGATTGACTGGCAGTTTGACCAAATAAGTTGCTGTTACAAAAGCAGCAAGGGTGTATTTTCCAGACATATGCGTTCTTCTATACATTTGTACACCATGAATATATATTAGCCCATGCACTGTAGGTGTGCGTAGTGTAGCCAATTGATTTATATACCCTTGACAATGTATTTCACATGGAAAACAAAACAGCTATTCATATTCATTGTATTTGCGTTATGTCAGTGAGTAAAGTATATACCAGCGATACTATATATTCTATTTGGAGATCAAGAACAACATAATCCGTAATCAGAAAACGCTAAATGACTTGACTTGAATTGACTCCCATCAGTGAGATTGCTTTATAGTAGGTTTTCAAGATCTGCCCTCTTTTCTGTATTGTGACATTGGAGGGAAAATGGTTTTTGGCCAAATGATGGCTAAACCAGTGTCAGTTTACTGGTAGATAACAGCAATGGCCTGGGCCTATTGGTTTTCCCGGTGGCCCTGTGGAGTCTTTTAAACCCTGCTAACTATTTCTAACTGTTCCCAGAGAGCTAAGTCCTTGCCAAACAGTCCCAAACCTGCCCCATCACAAAAGCCTGATCCCTGGGATTAGGTAGCCAACTAATTTCACTCTTTCTGTGGGGTCCTCAAACTGCGGAACTCAGATGAAGAGAGAAAGGATCTTGGGCAGACATAACATGTCTGTTTGGTTCTGGTGTTAGTGCCAGGCTGGTTTCACTGCCAATTTTAAGTATTGATTCATTTTTGACAACTCTGAAAAGAGGATACATAAATGCAGTTCATGAATCTTGTAATATTCCAAACAGAACTGCAAAAGTCTAAGGTGGAAACCGTTAACAATTTGCCATATTATTTGAAAAATATATCAATAAATACTTTTTCAAATAGCATGGGAAAGTATGTCCATTAAATTCATTAATTTCAAATAAAAGAGCACACCTGGTAACATGACAGTCTAAATGAGTCACAGACTATTGCTTTGGAGAAAACGGTGAAAAGTGTGATCACTTTTCAATGGAAAGACACTTCACTCTGTAGAGATGATTACTGCTCTTGTGCAAGACTTGACAATTGGATGGGAATGGAAATATGCCTGTCATTTAAATTGAGTTAAAGTTGTAAGTGCTTTCTCTACTTTTTTCCATGCTTTAATCATTTATCCTACTAGAGTCGATATCCATGCCCCGCGGAAATCTAATTAGCATAGTGAAAAAATCCTCATCAAAATCTGTCTGTTTAAGATAGAGATATCTGTTTTCTTTGCATGGGCTGCATCTCAATCCACCACATCCGCCAATGGCGGCCTTCAACATCTGCGGTGGAGGTGGCCGAGCTACAGAGGTGTTTGTCAGACCATGAGACTTTCCGATAATCGGTCTTTTCATGAAAACGTCTGTAGCGTCCGAACGGTTTGACCTACAAACTAATATGACCACTCTATGAAAATATTAGACTCTCACGAACACAATGGTGTTCTCCGTTTTGCTACTGGCCCCACAAGTGTCACGGGACATGTCTGAAGTTGGTACCGCCAATCTGCCAACTTCTGTCTGTAGTGTCCGAACAGTTTGGGCTACACACTAATACTGAATGACCCCTCTATGGAAAGGTGAGACTCTCGCGGACATGTACATGTTTTGCTCTAGGACACCCACAAGCCTCACAAGCCTTCGTCTGTACTGCAGGTATATATGGAAGTACACTGCTCAAAAAAATAAAGGGAACACTTAAACAGCACAATGTAACTCCAAGTCAATCACACTTCTGTGAAATCAAACTGTCCACTTAGGAAGCAACACTGATTGACAATAAATGTCACATGCTGTTGTGCAAATGGAATAGACAACAGGTGGAAATTATAGGCAATTAGCAAGACACCCCCAATAAAGGACTGGTTTTGCAGGTGGTGACCACAGACCACTTCTCAGTTCCTATGCTTCCTGGCTGATGTTTTGGTCACTTTTGAATGCTGGCGGTGCTTTCACTCTAGTGGTAGCATGAGACGGAGTCTACAACCCACACAAGTGGCTCAGGTAGTGCAGCTCATCCAGGATGGCACATCAATGCGAGCTGTGGCAAGAAGGTTTGCTGTGTCTGTCAGCATAGTGTCCAGAGCATGGAGGCACTACCAGGAGACAGGCCAGTACATCAGGAGACGTGGAGGAGGCCGTAGGAGGGCAACAACCCAGCAGCAGGACCGCTACCTCCGCCTTTGTGCAAGGAGGAGCAGGAGGAGCACTGCCAGAGCCCTGCAAAATGACCTCCAGTAGGCCACAAATGTGCATGTGTCTGCTCAAATGGTCAGAAACAGACTCCATGAGGGTGGTATGAGGGCCCGACGTCCCCAGGTGGGGTTTGTGCTTACTGCCCAACACCATGCAGGACGTTTGGCATTTGCCAGAGAACACCAAGATTGGCAAATTCGCCACTGGTGCCCTGTGCTCTTCACAGATGAAAGCAGGTTCACACTGAGCACGTGACAGACATGACAGAGTCTGGAGACGCCGTGGAGAACGTTCTGCTGCCTGCAACATCCTCCAGCATGACCGGTTTGGCGGTGGGTCAGTCATGGTGTGGGGTGGCATTTCTTTGGAGGGCCGCACAGCCCTCCATGTGCTCGCCAGAGGTAGCCTGACTGCCATTAGGTACCGAGATGAGATCCTCAGATCCCTTGTGAGACCATATGCTGGTGCGGTTGGCCCTGGGTTCCTCCTAATGCAAGACAATGCTAGACCTCATGTGGCTGGAGTGTGTCAGCAGTTCCTGCAAGAGGAAGGCATTGATGCTATGGACTGGCCCACCCGTTCCCCAGACCTGAATCCAATTGAGCACATCTGGGACATCATGTCTCGCTCCATCCACCAACGCCACGTTGCACCACAGACTGTCCAGGAGTTGGTGGATGCTTTAGTCCAGGTCTGGGAGGAGATCCCTCAGGAGACCATCCGCCACCTCATCAGGAGCATGCCCAGGCGTTGTAGGGAGGTCATACAGGCACGTGGAGGCCACACACACTACTGAGCCTCATTTTGACTTGTTTTAAGGACATTACATCAAAGTTGGATCAGCCTGTAGTGTGGTTTTCCACTTTAATTTTGAGGGTGACTCCAAATCCAGACCTCCATGGGTTGATACATTTGATTTCCATTGATAATTTTTATGTGATTTTGTTGTCAGCACATTCAACTATGTAAAGAAAAAAGTATTTCATAAGATTATTTCATTCATTCAGGTCTAGGATGTGTTATTTTAGTGTTCCCTTAATTTTTTTGAGCAGTGTAGTTTAGTGCCATTTTAAGAGCGTTGTGCCAGTAACCGAAAGGTCGCTGGTTCTAATCCCCGAGCAGACTAGGTGAAAAATCTGTCGATGTGCCCTTGAGCAAGGCACTTAACCCTAATTGCTCCTGTCAGTCGCTCTGGATAAGAGCGTCTGCTAAATGACTAATTATTTATATCTCTCAGATATAGGACAGGCACTTTAAAACAAACTTCCATTTGATATATTTTTGGTCTATCTGTTTTTACATGTATGAATCTGTTATTCAATGCTTTTCTATGGGCTAATAGCAGTAAGGCCAAATTCAATGTTTCATCCAATAATTAGTTTAAAAATTTTTTTTACACCAAAAGGGATCCTAAAATAAAAAATCAAATAGCTAAATGATCCTTGGTATGACCATCTTAAAACAATTCCATATTTTAGCTTAGTAGAAAATGTATTGGGCTTTTTTTTGTAGTGATTGTAACTCTCCATCCTTGTTGTTGCCTCCCAGACACAGAGAAGACCCACCAGAACCAAACAGATGAGTCGAACGCAGAGGACGGCTCTCTGAAGAAGAAGCAGCGCAGGCAGAGGACCCACTTCACCAGCCAGCAGCTCCAGGAGCTGGAGGCCACCTTTCAGAGGAACCGCTACCCCGACATGAGCACACGGGAGGAGATCGCCGTGTGGACCAACCTCACAGAGGCACGGGTTAGGGTGAGTCCCCCACATAATCACTACTGAGACAATACTGAACCAGTGGTTCCTCATTTGTTAGTATTTCCCCATTACATAAAAAATGGGAAAAAGGTGCCAATCAGTCTGAATGGAATCCAAACCCACTTTCTTTAGGATTTAACATTTGGACTTTTACCTCTTGGTGTACCTAATAGTCAGTGTCTTTGACACATGGGTTGTTTTGTACTCTAGCTATGTCATTCAACAAAACGTTTGTGGGAGTCAAACATATTATTTCAACATAATTCTGAAGGTAAAAAGTCAATTGAATGTACAAATCTAAAAGAGTGTACCTAACCAGGGATTAAGTACAACAACCTAAAACTAGTCTTCACATGTCACACAAAGGTCAGAAGTGTGCTCTGCTCCTGACCCTAAAATGTCTCCGCAAGCCCAGAGGTTGGTCACCCACAGTGTGGAGCAGGTGGGCTCACATTCCGATGGATGACAATAAAATCGCTGCCTGCCTGACAAGTAATGGATTAAATTAATGTTGGCTAGATTAAAGGTCACATAGCACACAGTCTTGGTTGTTATTTTGAAAGAACAACAGACCACACATGGCCTGGTCCTAATGTCTAGCAGTGGCCTTTTGAACCCCGCTTGTTCCCTGCTAATCCTACATGGACGCAGATTCAAATCAAATCCAATTTGATTTATCACAGGCACCGAATACAACAGGTGTAGACCTTACCGTGAAATGTTTACTTACAAGCCCTTAACCAACAATGCAGTTTTAAGAAAATAGAGATAAGAAAATATCTACTAAATAAACTAAAGTAAAAAATTATAACAAATAAAATAATAATAATAAGAAAAAATAAGAAAAAGTAACACAATAAAATAACAATAATGATACTATATACATGGGGTACCAGTACCGAGTCAGTGTGCGAGGGACAGGTTAGTCGAGATAATTTGTATATGTAGGTAGGGGTAAAGTGACTATGCACAGATAATAAACAGCGAGTAGCAGCAGTGTAAAAACAAAGGTGTCAATGTAAATAGTCAGTGTGGCCATTTGATTAATTGATCAGCAGTCTTATGGACCTAGACTTGGCGCTCCGGTACCGCTTGCCGTGCGGTAGCAGAGAGAACAGTCTATGACTTGGGTATGATTCCCAAGTGCATATCCAGAATACTTCTCCTGTCGTCTTGATTTAATGAGGAGTTTTGAAGTCTTGTCTTTATGAGAATAAAGAGAAAGTTCCAGCACAAAATGAATGCTCAGAGAGAAATTAAATCGTGAGCAATGGACGTGGGTACTTAGGTCACAGCGAGTGTCTTGTATCAGTCATTTGGCAGTTTTCGGAAAGTGAGGTAAGGTTTGCCACAAACACCCCATCCAACTACCATTTGGCACAGCAGTTCTAGATGATGAAGGGAGGGAGGGAGATTAGATCGTTTTGAAGTCTTTATGAGAATAAAGAGAAAGTTCCAGCACAAAATGAATGCTCAGAGAGAAATTAATACTTCCCCGATTGGGAACTGAATTAAGTACCTTCATTTTAGATTTGCCATTAAAACTTTAATCCATTTGATACCCTCCAGAAATAGGACCTTAAAATGACAAAATGTGAAGACTGCTTTAGCTTGACATTTCTTTCACTGGGAGCTTATAATTCAAATAAGTGAATAATTAGTTTTAATAAACCATGGCTAATATGACTGTTTGATAATACACTTCAACTTAGTTTCCTGGCTTGTTCTTTCTTTCAAAAAGTCTGCAGAGCAACAGCATACTGAATCTTGCCAAAACTATTTGAAAGATATAAAGTCTCAGTCATTGCATACCAAGATGTTATTGTGTTTCAGAACTATTTTTATCACCTCACATTATGTTGAAAAGAAAAGCCCATATTTATTTGCCTTTTTCCCCTTCTCTGTTCTTCTCCCTCAGGTATGGTTTAAGAACCGCCGTGCCAAGTGGAGGAAGAGGGAGAGGAACCAGCAGGCTGAGCTGTGTAAAAATGGCTTCGGTGCCCAGTTCAATGGACTAATGCAGCCCTACGACGACATGTACTCTGGCTATTCTTACAACAACTGGGCCACCAAGAGTCTGGCCAGCAGCCCACTGTCAGCCAAGAGCTTCCCCTTCTTCAACTCCATGAATGTAAGCCCCCTGTCCTCCCAGCCCATGTTCTCCCCCCCCAGCTCCATCCCCTCCATGAACATGGCCTCCTCCATGGTGCCCTCGGCGGTGGCCGGAGTGGCCGGCTCGGGCCTCAACAACCTGGGCAACCTCAACAATCTCAACAGCCCCACGCTGAACTCGGTGGCGGTCACCGCCACCACCTGCCCCTATGCCACCACCGCCAGTCCTTACATGTACAGAGACACCTGCAACTCCAGCCTGGCCAGCCTCCGGCTCAAGGCCAAGCAGCACGCCACCTTCGCCTACCCAACAGTGCAAAACACTGTGTCCAACCTAAGCCCTTGCCAGTACGCAGTGGACCGGCCAGTATGAAGACACCCACACCCATCCAGCCTGCCCTGTACTCCCCAACCCCTCCTCTCAGCCACTGACCTCCTCTCCCTCTCCTCCTCCCGGTCCCTGCCATGCTTCATCAGTGAATCAGAGTTAACTGCACACATCACCATTACACTCTTAGAAAAAAGGGTTCCAAAATAGTTATTTGGCTGTCCCCATAGGAGAACAGTTTATGGTTCCAGGTAGAACACTTTTTGGTTACAGGTAGTACCCTTTTGGGTTCCATGTAGAACCCTCTGTGGAAAGGGCTTTACATGGGACCCAAAGGGGTTCTACTTGGAACCAAAAAGGGTTCTTCAAAGGGTTCTGCTATGGGGACAGCCGAATAACCCTTTTATGTTCTGGATAGCACCTTTTTTCTAAGAGTGTACATGGACTGGTTAATAAAATGTTGTTTGTCTAACTGATGGTACACAACAGGAATAAGCTTCAATAGTTATAAAAAATCCCCTGATGGACCACCACGCTTCAAAGAACTCTCTCAAATACGCGGAGACTTTGTTGCTGAACCGACCAACTGTTAAAAAGGATTTCTAAGTTTAATCCGAAATCATTTTTTGGGACTGCATGACTAGAGTGAATTTAAAATGAAGAAAACCTGGATGCTCCAACTGCATTGGTGGTCAAACATGAAATCATTGTGACGCTTGCCACCATCACGGGAAAGGGACCTGTGGTTGCAATATGGGATAGAGGATGTATATAATGGACTTTTTTTGTTTTGTATGTGACAAAACTATCTATGAAACATAGTACTTTGGAGATGAGAAAAGCATGTTCTTCAAGAGAAGACCCTAGATTGATGTACTATGAGTACCTCCTTTAGGAATTGTTATCTTTGTTATGAATTCCACTCACCTCAGAAGGTCAGGTGTCAAAGGTCAGACCAGAAAGGAGAGAGGAGCAGAATGTAGTCTCAGAGAGTAGAAATAGCCGGGAGCGGAGACAAAACAACAATTTACACATCTGTCAGAGATAGAGACAATATCAGAAACCTTTTAAAGAAAAGCCTAAAAAAGCCATTGAATATATAGGTTTGTGTGGTGTTATAAAAAGGGAGTCCATGACTGTAAAAATGTATGTAAGAGTGCAGTTGTTATAAAACAAGCTTTTTTTTCTAGTGTAGCCTGCTTTGTCTCATTAACATAATAAAAATGATCTGTTTTTATGAACAACAAATGAGCTAAAAGTGAGTACCATTGAAAGAAAGTCACCAGTTTTTCCTTTACAGGTACTGCATGTCTTCATCTATGTTCTATGACATTAGACTGAGTGATTGACACACAGGTCCTACACACAATGTTCCCCTTGAACAAGCATCAACGCCATGGAAACACTGTCTCACATCCATGGCAACGTAATTCAACGGGGGACGTGGGGACTGGAGAGAGATGGAGAGATATAGATGTTCCTGCTGCCTGGTCACTGAGACGTTTGACCTACACTCTTTGAATTGACAGCCACAGCGCACTCTCCAAGCTATCCCGTAACAGAAGGAATTCTTGGGGCCGTGCCTCAGATCGCTGAGGCCGGTGCCAACATTACATAAGCCTTCAGGAGGTGTCCCTACGGACTTACAACCAAAGGGACTGACAGCTGAGCCTGGGCTGCTCAGCTTGTGATTGAACAGCCTTTTACTACAATTACATTTTTACATTTTACTTTTTGCCAGTTGTTTTATAAAAGTTAATATCTACAATGTGAGACATCAGTCTCTCAAAAGTGCAGGCATAAAGCAACTGAGTTATCAAATCTTAGAACATCAAGGCAGACAAAGAAACAATTAGTTTAACATTGCAACTCTATGCGTAGTTCTTTATTAAAGGTTACTTTTTCAACAACACAACTCTGTGGAGAATTCTCTTCTCCCAGCAGTCCAAAGAGCCTGTTCATGAGACCACAGTAGTCTGTGGAGCGAGGTGGGGCAGTCACAGTGTTTGGTTTCCCCCTCCACACAACACATATAATCAATATTCCACTGGATGGGAAACGTCCCACCATTTCCCTTTGTTCACACTGCCCAGCACAAGGAGAACGCTTTCAAAATGGTCCAAAACCATTATCTGGACAAATCCATACAACTTCTAGAAGTGATAATGATTACCTTTGAGAATACAGAGGGAAGGAATAGAATAACTGTTTTAGTTTTCTGACAGTATTCTATGGTTCAGTAAAAATGTTTGAAGGGCCCGCATATCATGAAAACATTTAGTTCACGCATGCATTTCAGCGCCAAGAAGTCCAGCAACATCAGCAGGTTATAATTTATCTGTCACTTCAACTTCCTTGGGGCCAATATCACTAGAATTACAGTCAACAACAGCTTAGCATTAAGACAAGCATCCACATCTCCCTTCACCCTCTACCGTCTCTCTGCTACAGCCAGCCGCCTTTCGGATCACTGTAGTAGTGGCAAGAATACTAAAGATTCTTAAATAATATTTTCATTTATCACTGATGAAGAATGAATCATCAAATTCTATGATGATGATAAGCTCTAATGGGGGCTCTGGGTGTTCTAAGTCCTGTCTGCCTGTGTCAGAAATCGCTAAGGAACATATGCAAAATAATTGCTAAAGAGATTTTTTCATGAAATAGAGAGGCGTTGTTTTTTAACATCTCTCACACTACATTTCTGTAATTAGAGTACAATAATGAGAATACTTGTTATTAAAAAGCCAGCTATTACATCTCATATACTCTGACTAGTAGAATGTAATATCAGGACCCATTCAGGATGCCCTGTGTTAACTAATTTGTTAATTGCGTACATCATTGGGAACTATGGTTTAATTACATATCATTATTCCACCTTTGTCTATGATATGGTGAATCAACGTTATGGGGCAGAGTGACTAAATTAAGAAGGAGAATATAAAAAATGTAATTTGGACTTGAGCAGAAAGTGCCATCATGGTAATTAGTGTTAAAAATACAAACAGAATGAGGAAGGAATCTCGGCTCTTTTTACAGCATGTTCTCAAAGAGGATTAAGGAAATTATAGTCTGCTGAGATGGCTTTTCAAACGTATTAACAATACAAATGGATAGCTCCCAGTGGTTTTAATATGATACTCCTTTATGAGCTGTTTGCTCAACCTGTACAACACTGAATAACTTTTAGGTTAGTTAATTGTGGAGAGTTTATTTTGGAAATAGGTTTTGAATTAAGATGTTTAAACCAGTGCTTAATATACACTGAACAAAAAAATAAATGCAACATGCAACAATTTCAAAGATTTTACTGAGTTACAGTTCATTTAAGGAAATCGGTCAACTTAAATCAATTCATTAGGCCTGTATTCCCAGTCATGGATTTCACATGACTGGGAATACAGATATGCATTTGTTGGTCACAGATACCTTTACAAAAAAGGTAGGGGCGTGGATCAGAAAACCAGTCAGTATCTGATGTGACCATTTGCCTAATGCAGCACGACACATCTCCTTCGCATAGAGTTGATTAATGGCATCTGCTAAATGGCATATTGTTGATCAAGCTGTTGATTGTGGCCTGTCGAATGTTGTCCCATTCCTCTTCAATGGCTGTGCGAAGTTGCTGGATATTGGCGGGAACTGGAACACGCTGTCGTACACGTCGATCCAGAGCATCCCTAACATTCTCAATGGGTGACATGTCTGGTGAGTATGCAGGCCATGAAAGAACTGGGACATTTTCAGCTTCCAGCAACTGATGTTGTGATGGCGGTGGATGAATGGCACGACAATGGTCCTCAGGATCTCGTCACTCTATCTCTGTGCATTCAAATTGCCCAATGTAAAAATACAATTGTGTTCATTGTCCGTAGCTTATGCCATCCCATACCATAACCCCACTGCCATAATGTTGACATCAGCCACCCGCTCTGCCCACACGACGCCATACACACTGTCTGCCCTCTGCCCAGTACAGTTGAAACCGGGATTCATCCGTGAAGAGCACACTTCTCCAGCGTGCAAATGGCCATCGAAGGTGAGCATTTGCCCACTGAAGTCGGTAAATGGAGCCGAACTGCAGTCAGGTCAAGACCCTGTTGAGGACGAAGAGCACGCAGATGAGCTTCCCTGACATGGTTTCTGACAGTTTGTGCAGAAATTATTTGGTTGTACAAACCCACAGTTTTATCAGCTGTCCGGGAGGCTAGTCTCAGACGATCCCGCAGGTGAAGAAGTCGGATGTGGAGGTCCTGGGCTGGCATGGCACGTGATCTGCGGTTGTGAGGCCGGTTGGACGTACTGCCAAATTCTCTAAAATGACGTTGGAGGCGGCTTATGGTAGAGAAATGAACATTCAATTATCTGTCAACAGCTCTGGTGGACATTCCTGAAGTCAGCATACCAACGGCACACTCACTCAAAACTTGAGACATCTGTGGCAATGTGTTTTGTGACAAAACTGCACATTAAGAGTAGCCTTTTATTGTCCCCAGCACAAGGTGCACCTGTGTAATGATCATGCTGTTTAATCAGCTTCTTGATATGCCACACCTATCAGGTGGATGGATTATCTTAGCAAAGGAGAAATGCTCACTAACAAGGATGTAAGCAAATGTGTGCACAAAATTTGAGAGAAATAAGCTTTTTGTGCATATGGAACATTTCTGGGATTTTTCTTTCAGCTCATGAAACATGGGACCAACACTTTACATGTTGCATTTATATTTTTGTTCAGTGTATCTTTTATAATATGGCTAGGGATGGTTTTCTGGCCAAATTCATGCCCTGAAATGTTTCAATTGCTATAGTTTTGTCATTTAACTAATCATCACAATACATTGATTATACAACTACATGAGAGACTGCAAACAACTACAGCAAGTTTTGTCTGCTGCAACTTCCAACCTCATGAATGATGACAATGTATACAAGACGTAGAGCATGCCTTGTTTGTGTATAATCCGATTAAACCCCTCCTTTTCAATAAGATGCTCATAGAGAGACTCGGCTCTATATGAATACTCACAATAGGAACAATATGAGCTGTTCCCTGGGGGAGCAGAGAATCTGTGGACCACACATAATCTCATACCTGAGCAAGCCACAGACACAGCGAGCCCAATTTGGGATATACTTGAGGCCTGAAACTTGCTCTTCTAGGGGCGGCTTTGGG